AATTAGTTAAAATTTAAACTTCACCTGTCTTATTTCTGATTTTAGAAAATTTTCCTTGGTTGTTTCACAGATGATAGTTTCAGTGTGTGTGTGTATGTGTGTGTGTGTTTCTGAAACTTTTTTCTGATTTGTTTTTCTTGAATTGTTGCTTGTTTTCCAAAGACAGAGAGAGAGGTGTGGATTTGGGTGGGAGTGGAGGATCTGGGGGAGGTTGGAGAGAGATAACTGTGATCAGATATATTATATGAAAATTTATTTTCAATTAAAAAATAATACTAAAAATACTAAGAATGTGAGTGGTAGCTTCAGCAGAACAGAATGCAGTGTTTAGATTTAATTATTAGGCAGGGGAAAATGACAGTTTCCTGAAGTTCATAGTGGAGAATGTTTCAGAAGTAACAACGGTCTGAGTATAAACATTGCTTACAGGATCACAACAAACAATAAATATTTAGGCTAGGCCATGGAAACTTGGCTGTGATTATAGAGTAGAATGTGAGATTTTAGAGAAGCAAGGTTCTGCAGACACAAATGAAATATCCATATCACATCCTTCCTCCCAAGGCTCAGGTGAGAGAGAGAGTTAGAGGAACATAGACAGAAGAGGTAGTGGCAGCCCCTTATAATGGTGTCTTCTTGTTCCCAGAAGGCATGGCAAGGAGGGATTCAGGAAGATATTGAGGCAGATATCAAAATGGGACTAATATAGTCAAAAGAAGGACTGAAGGGCTTTGTAAAATATCTAACCCAGAGTCTGTGTAGCAAATCTCATGGGGCTCTGGGGCCCCCAACCATGCTGAAGGGAGCTGTTTGCCTCTTTCAATGGAGCTATTAATTCTGATTTCTCTGCATCTTGTTCTACCGTTTTTAGATGTTCAGTGTTTTCATACCGTGGAACTGGAATGAGTTTGATGATGTCGGAGACAACCACCTCTACCACCACTGAGTTCCTACAGGATTCAAGAATTCCTCCCTACCCACGGACAGTATGCCTGACTGAAAAAGCACAAAGGAGGACTCAGATGTGACCATGAGTTTTGACATTCTGAGGACTCCTTCCCAGTCATGGAGCTCTCCCTCTAAGCACAAGTAGCATAATTGCAAGCCCCAATTACTCTTCACCTCCTCTAGGAGAGAAGAGAGTGGAGGCTCTGATGGAGATACCATGGTGACCATATTCAACAGAGAACCAGGATGTTGACTTATACTGATATTCCTAAGCTAAGAGACACTTAGAAAATACCCAAGGACTCATCATCTTCCGAGGGAGAAAGGACTGGGGAGGGAAGTTTCCCACTTGCCATGTTGGCTGGCCTCTTTGTCACTGTTTCCAGTAGCTTATACATTTGGTGAAGAACAATGGGGCAGGTGACTCATCTGCTTGATTGCTTCCTCACCCCATGCCCAGATAACTCTGAGACTACTCTGCCTGCGTGCCCTTTTGTTGCTGGCCCTTTGTCCTTCAGTTGAGGCCTTGCAAGCCTAGTTATTTGTACCATGTGTATAGGTGGGGAAGCAAGGTCCTTAAATAACAAGTATGTTGGGGGGATAGATTTTTCAAAAGGATTAAGATAGAAATGAAGCCCCTCAGGACTCGAAGACATAATTTTCTAGCTACTCTCTTGGTTAGCCTATGTCTGTCACATATATGATGCTTTGGGTGAAGTTACTTCCTAAAGAGAAATAGCCAAATTCCAGTCTTTTGACAATTAGCTAACTCTTTCAATGTGTGATAAACCAAGTAGTAGCAAGTTTACAGTGTTCTGTCCCTAGCCTTGCACTTTTAAGCTGCACGTAAAGTGTGTGTGTGATTTATTTACCAATAATTTTTCAACATTATTGTTTCACCTTGGACCATACACCCCTTTGTCTGTTGCTGGCCCGCTTGCTATGGCCAGAGGATCTATGGAGATCAGAGAATATTGTTATCCTAGTACACAATAATATCCTTACAGATGTTCAACTAGTGAAAGAGAATGTAAGGAGCTGTCTGCTTCTAGAAAGCAACTGAATAGAAAAACTACATGTGATATGATTCAAGGTTTCAGGGTCCACCACAAGCTGGCAACCAAACTTGGCAGTATTGTGCCCATGGTACTTCCTTTAATGACATTAAAGGGATGAGTGTAGTGGGTAGCCATTCCAGCTTGGTTCTGGAAGTTCCAACCCCCATTGAGACTCTGGCAACTGTCACGCCTATGAGGCAGGGTGAGGGGAGGCGCCTGGGGACCTGAGAGCTGGATGGGCCAGCGCTCGCTCTGGGCGCTCTCTCGGTGCCGGAACGCTGACCGGTGCAGATTGACTGTGCAGAGCTCCGAAGAACACCGCTGGACTGCGTTACACCCTCCCCAGACCCTGCGACCTACCCAGTACTTAATTTGTGAGTTACACCATTTAATAAATATCCTTTTAACTACGTGGAGTGGCTAAAATAATTTCTCCAATAGATGGGATCATGAATTCTTCTTTGGTTGCAGAGAACCACCAGAAACAGACATCATGTGGCTAGACAACAATCCCTGGGTGAAGGCACAGGAAGTACAGGGAACCCTGAAAGATCATTGGGTGAAGCTATGAAAGCAAACACAAAATGCTAAGGATGCCAAAGATGTGAAGTCTCTGATGAGGAGAGCTGAATACAGGGAGTGGAACCAGCCCAGGAGATGTGTGTAGTAGTCAGGAAAGCTGGAGGAGTAGGGCTAACTAAGCCCTTTGAAATTAAAGTCCCAGACATGGGACCCAAAACCACAGGATTTGGTGCTTTCACTGCTGGGTTTGTTCCTTCTGGGGTTCAGTATTGCCTCTCTGTGTCTCCATCCCTCCACTTGGAATGCTAATGTATACTCTGCCATTGTATGATGAAAGTATGTAATTTTCTTTTTTTATTTTATGGAACATAGCAATTAAGAGATTTCCTTGAGTCTGTGAAGAAACTCTGAAGATTTAAACAGTTTTGAGACTAAAAGATTTGGGGGAATTTTGAGGTTTGACAAAATACATGTGGCTTTATGAAATGGCCATAAGCCTAAGGGAGCAAAGGTTTTGGGATGTGGTGATTTGAATAAGAAATGTTTCCCACATGCTTAGGCGTTTGACCATTCAGTACTCAGTTTGTGATTCTGTTGAGCTGTATTGTTGGGAGATGCAGTGTTGCTGGAGTAAATACATCATTTAGATTAGCTGTGAGAGGTTAAAGCCTCACCCCACGCTGTTTACATCGTACTCTGTGTTTCTGTTAGAGTATTAGAATATGATTCCTTGGGTTCCTGACCCTGCCATCATGAAAGCCCTTTGCTGCCATGCTTCTCTGTCAGCTTTCTTAATGGTCTGGTCCCTAGTATGTCAACCATTCTCTAGTGGATGGTCCAACACCCATCAGTATATGAGCAGTACAAATTGTTGGGTTATTTTTAAAAAGACAAAAGAAGAAATGAAATTTCCAGGGGTGGGTGGGTGTGGATCTAGGAGTAGTTACAGGGCGAAGTGGGAATAAATATGATAAAAATAGATTGTAAGAATTAATCAAAAGTTATGCTTAGTTGATAAGAAAGTGGTCTTTGGACTTCTCCATATACCTTGATAGTATCTAAATTAAGCCAAAGGGGAGACAGAGTCTCAAGGGATGAATGGGGAATTTCATAAAACTGAAGATGTGTGGACTCTGTGAGGAAATGTCATGAAACACGACAGAATCCACTAATAAGAGTTTTATTAAAATAAGAGAGACAGATACGCATGTTCAGGCCTGTGGAAAAGACACGTGTGTGGAGAAGAAGGAAGCCAGGAATATGGTGCTGGCTTATAAAGGCTGGGTGGCGCATGCGCTGTAGGTCCATGTGGCTACTCCACACATGCGCATAGATCACATGGTTGCATTGCGCGCTCTTACACAACCATGCAAAGCCACAGGGTCCTGGTCATGCAAGACGCCTTGACCCGGAAATGGCTATTTTGACCTGGAACTGGCTAGGTGGAAGTGTCTAGGTCTGCCAGACATGCGCAACTGTGGGGGCCTGTTGTGAATCTATCATCTGGGATCAAGGAACACTGTTGAAAGCATGAAAAGCTGAAGTTATATTACATTACTTAAATTACATTCTTAACGAAAGTGAAACTAAAAAAACAATAATACAACTTTCAAAACTTTTGAACAGGGTAAAGGGGAGTTTTATCCATAGATAAACTAAATTTGCCACTGTCATGGCAAACCATGGTACAACTTAACTTCCTGTGTCCAAAGTCTTTAAATTATAAAATAGAGGCGTAGGCATACTCAGTAAGCATATTTAGGGATCTATTTATTTATTTGTTTATTTATTTATTGAAAGGACATGTGAATTCAATTTCTCAGAGAATATGAACAAAGGAAACATACTGTGCGTGGAAAAAAACAAAGTTCTTTCAGTTAAAATTGTGGAATATACTTCTAACAACACTAGCAGAATTGCAGTGTACACTCTACCCATCTGAGAAACAAGAATTATCCATTCATTGTAGAATATGAAATGTGCTGGGTGCTCAGATACTTTTAATGAAGGATTGATTTTTTTTTTTTCCTGTGAGGGATTACATCTGAATAACCCTTACTATCTCTGTCTTTTGAGGAATACAAAGGTTCAAAAGTATTTAAGCCGCGGCATGGGGAGATAGCTCAGTCAGTAAAGCTCTTGTCCTGTAAGCTTGAGACAGAATCCACATACAAAAGCTGGGTGTGGTATCACAACGTGTAATCCTAGCCAGGGTGAGCTGAGAAGTGGAGACAGGTAGATCATGGAACTCAGTGACATTCCATACCACAAGTGACTGATCCCAGTCTTAAAAAGGTGACAAACATCTGAGCACCTAAGATGTCCTCTGACCTCCATACACATGTGCAAACATGCATGTACATATCTGCACAGCACGTGTATCCTCTCTACATGAACACACACACTCCTTCAAGTACAAAGTATTAAGTTGGAAGTTTTGTGGGGTGGGTAGTGGAACTCAAACCCAGGGCTTTATCCATGCTGATCTCTGCCCTCGGCCATGAAACATTTATCTTCACAATGAAAGTATCCTGAAACCCTGAGCGGACTCATTACTCAGTGAAGGTCCTTCCTGTGAACCCGCTGGTGGATGTGCAGGCTGGAGCTCTGGCTGAAGCTCTTCCCACACTTGATGCACTCATAGGGCTTCTCCCCGGTGTGCACTCTCTGATGGATGAGGAGTTTGGAGCTCTGGCTGAAGCCCTTGCCACACTTGCCACAGTGGTAGGGCTTCTCCCCAGTGTGCACTCTGAGGTGGATTCGAAGGTCTGAGCTCTGGCTGAAGCCATTCCCACATTCCCCACACTTGTAGGGCCTCTCTCCTGTGTGGACACGCTGGTGGATGTGCAGGTTTGACCACTGACTGAAGCTCATGCCACACTCCTCACACTCATAGGGCTTCTCTCCGGTGTGGACTCTCTGGTGGATGTGCAGCTTGGAGCTCTGGCTGAAGCCCTTCCCACACCGTTCACACTTGTACGGTTTCTCACCTGTGTGGACAACATGATGGATGAGCAGACTTGAGCTCCTGGTGAAGCCCTTCCCACACCTGTCACACTTGTACGGTTTCCCATCCATGGGGACTGCTTGGTGGACAGCAGACAAGCTCCTGGTGAGGCCTGACCCACAAGGCTCACACCCACAGGCTTTTCCTTTCAGGCGGTCTCTCTGATGAAGCATCAGTTCTGAGTGAAGCTCTCACCACACTGACCACATCTGTATAGTGTCTCTGAAGCGGGGGGTTTCTTGAGCTGACCATCTGGGTTGTGATAAGCGCCTTCCAGGAGTCATTACAGTTACAGGTTCCTTTGTATGGTTTCTCTGAAGACTGCAGGTGACTAATGGTGGCGTCCATCTACAAATGTCTTTACTTCACCGTCAAAGGGAACTAAGGAGCCTTTGAACTGGACATTTTGGCAAGTTGTCTCAATAGGGAACAACAGAGGTACCGGTTGGTTCTGGTACATCAGATTTGAGTTTAACTTGAAGAATTTCTGAACAGTGGTCTATGGGATGACACTCTCCGCTTATTCCTTTTCTCAGTTCTTCCTTCAGTTACGAAGAGAAATTTTTTTCCTCAGAGGCTTCTTACACAACTTCACAGAGGAGACCTGTCTGGCCATTTGGCTTGGAACTTCAAAGATAAATATTTTTTCACTTTCAGTGTTTGTGAAATCACTGACAGGAATCTATTTCAACATCTGTGTGTACTTCTTGAAGATTCACAATATAAATTCAACTTCCAGGTACTGACTGGCCATCTCTTCCAAAATTAGTCACTAGGAAAACTACTATGGTAAATCTGAAGTCTTCTCTCTTTCTAAATATTTTCATTTCATTTGTGTAAGTGTTTTGCCTGCATATATGTCTGTGTACCACATGCCGGCCCGGTACTTATGGAGGTTGGAGGAGGGCATTGGATCCCCTAGAACTGGAGTTATGGATAGTTGTGAGCCACCATGTGGGTGCTGGGAACTGAACTTGCAAAGGCCACGGGTGCTCTTGGACTCTGAGTCATCTCTCCAGCTCCCTGTAGGCCTTTCTCTTGAAGATTCTCCACAGAATTTGTGTTTGACTCTCCTGGCTCCTTGTCATGCAGGTCTCAGCCGAGCTCCTGCCTTCCAAATGTGCTTCCTTCCAGATGTGCTTCCTTCCAGATGTGCTCTCTTGACCATCAAATCAGAATGCACTCACTACCACTTCTCTGGGTTTAATTTCTTCATACTCTTTATATGACTTAGCTCATCTTCTCTCTTCACGTTCTTGCATTCACTCCATCCCCATTAAAGTTCCCCAGCACAGAATGGCTGACATTTATTCCCCAAGGCCTCAAGCGGGACCTCCCACTGGAAACACTTAGCATTAAGTGTATATGTAGAGGTATTTCAAAATAAAATGCTGGGTGCACAGAGATTAGGAGGATGAGAAAGGAGTGCTGTTCTCTTTCCTTCCGGCAGGGCTAGGAATCTTAAGTTTGAAAAACCACCACATGATTTTGATGTACCTTTTTAGGCATGATTCTGTGACCACTGCGCTGTTCTTCAATTAAGATCCTCATGACCATCACCATCACAGTTAACAGCAATCACTGTTAATATGCAAGGGGTCGATCCCTTTCTTGTCACTCTTGAGTAGGTAGGACCCACACCTGGTATCGCAGGACTCCAGGGCATCATTGAGGACTCGAACTACCCTATTTATTTTTAATATTATTCAAAACTTTGTTTCTACATGTATATGTGAATAGGTATGTGGTTATGTGAGTTCAGGTGTATTCAGAGTTAAGAAGAGGGTGTTAAATCTCTTGAAAATGCCTGAGGTAGGTGTTGAGAACCCAACTGTGGTCAGGTCCTCTGTAAGACATTTCCTTAGTCACTGTTCTATTGCTGTGAAGCCACACTATGACCAAGGCATTTTTATTTTACAATACCATTCAGTTCTACATAACAGCCACAGATTCCCTTGTTCTCCCCCTTCCTGCTCCCCTCCCCTTCCCCCCAGCCCACCCCCTATTCCCACCTCCTCCAGGGCAAAGCCTCCCCCCAGGACTGAGATCCACCCGACCTGCCTGGACTGAGTCTATCAGGTCGATCTCAGTCCTGGGGGGACTTGCTTATAGTTTAAGGGGCTTACTCCATTATCATCACAGCAGGAAACACAGCCCCGGAACAGTAGCCAAGAGCTGTATCCAGGCAGATGGGTGAGGGGGAGCTGGCACAGGCTTTTAAAACCTCAAAACCTACCCACAATGACACAAATTCCTCCAAGGCCACACTTTCTATTCCTCCTAATCCTATCAAAGAGTTCCACTCCCTGGAGGACTAAGGATTCAACTATATGAGCCCACAGGAAGGGGTGGGGGGCCATTCTCACTCAAACCAGCACATCCCACTCCCTGGTGCCCCTATAGGCTTTTAGCCATATAACAATTCAAGAATGAATTTAGTCCAACTTCAAAAGTCACCATTGTCTATCACAGTCTCAACAGTATAAAAGTCCAAAGTTTAATTTTTTTTTTTCTGAGACTCATGGCAATATCTTAGCTACAACCATTCCCCCACAAAATCAAAATCAAAAAATAAAGAGCTTCCAAAATACAATGGCACAGTATATACATCAACATACAAAAGGGAGGAATGGAAATATAGTGAGAGCAGGAAAACTAGCAGGGCAAATTCCAAACTCTGCATCTCCATGTCTGATGTCAAAGTACTCTTCTGAAATCCAACTCCTTCCAGCTTTTTGGATTGCAGCACTGTTTTCTCTCGGGCTGACTCCACACCTGGTCTGCAGCTCTTCTCTGCAGGTATTCTATGACTCTGGCATCTCAGGATCTCCAACACAATCCAGACTTCACCTCCATAGCTTTTTTCATTGGCCTCTCTGGGCCTCCATGCAAAGATATCCCTAGAAATCTCCTGATCTTGGCAGCTTTCCTGAGATAAGGAGGGAGAATCCCCAACCCCTTTCTTATATCTTTGACTCTAAAGCCTGAACCATGTGGCCTAAACTATCAGCTTCTGCTCCTTGCTGGGGCTGGAACTTGGTCCACACTTTCAATTACATTTGCATCAGCATTCTGTTGGTGGTGGTTTTCTTCACTGCTTAAGCTTTTCTTTAATTCCCTTTCACAAGTTGGAAGTTTAGCTGAGTGGTGTCTTTCCCCCAAAGTCACCACTCCCTTTGTTCCACTTAGCACCAGACCTTTTGAAAAAAAAAAAATTGTCCTTAAGCACTGAACTTAGCTATATTATATTACCTGGTCCTTCCTATTTCTTCAAATTGTACATTGTGTAAAAGTCTAGCTTACTCCTTTTCATTGTATATCTGCATAAGAGTGACCACTAACAACCATTTGAAACAGTCATGCTAGGCTCTTTTGAAATCTGCTCTGCAACACTATTAGTCCAACACTCATCAATTTAGCCTCAGGCAGATTTTTAGGACAATGGTAGAAAGCAGCTACACTTTTTGCCAAAATATCTCAGGAATGGTGTCTAGGCCTCTTACTAATATTCCACCCTCCCCCCAGATTTCTTGATCTGGACCCAGGCAGTTTAAATTGCCCTCATTACTATCCTCCATGTTAGTACTAGGATGACTTATTAAGCTTCACTTAAAGTGTGCAACTGCTTTTCTAGTCCAACATCACAAATTCTTCCATATTCCTAAAACAGACAGCATGTCTGTCACAACCTCTGGTGGCAACTTCTGTCTTAGTCACTGTCCTATTGCTGTGAAGAGACGCCATGACCAAGTCAACTTTTATAAAGAAAGCATTTAATTGAGAATTGATTGACTTGCCTACAATTCTAGAGACTTAGGCCATCATCATCATGCCACCGGAGCATTGGACTCATGTAGTTGCTGAGAGCTACATCCTGATTCTTGGACAGAGAGAGACTAGGTGTGGTGGTGTGGGCTTTTGAAACCTCAAAGCCCACCTTGTGACACACTTTTTCCAACTAAGCCATACTCCTAATCTTTCTAAACCTTTTTAACTTTCATGACTAAGTATTCAAATGTATGAGTCTATGGGAGACATTTTTATTAAAAGAAAAACCACCACAAATATTGACTCATCTTTCCAATTCAAGTAGCTACAGTTTTAAATGTAAGAAAATTGAAATCATTATTGATATAAACACAGTTAGTTCCCCTTGGATCCTATTATGCAAGTAATTTTGTAATAATAGCCTAGTGTAAAGGATGAATAAAACTTTGAAACAAGATTTAACCTTGGGGGCTGGAGAAATGGCTCAGTGGTTAAGAACATGGGCTGCTCTTACAAAAGGACCCAGGTTTGATTCCCATCACCTACATGGTAGGTGGTTCACAACTATCCATAACTCCAGATCAGGGGATCTGATGCCCTTCTATGATTTCAAAATCATCAACCATACACACACAGACAAAAGACTGACATGTAACTTAAAATGATCAAATAGAATTTTAACAAGAGATTTAACTTTCATTGTAAATATTTTGCCCCATTTTATTTCGCTATTAAATTTTCTTTCTTTCATTCATTTTTTAACTGTACTTGTTTTTCAAGCAAGGGGCAAGATCAAGAAATTGCTTCAGGATTTAAATAACATTTTCTGAGCTGGTCAAATTTAGTGAAAAAGAAGACAGAAAAATGCCCTAAGTTTCTTAATCCTGTTTCTGGGCTCTGTGACACACACACACACACTCCCACTGTGCTAGAATTATATTATTTTGGGAAGTGGTCCAAGTACAATCAACGTACATGATGAACATTTAAAATTATAACACCAACTCATTTTATAACTCATAACCCAGTGTCTCTCCTTTATGTGCTGTGACCTACTGGCCTGAGAAAGGACTGGTATCCCAGCCTGTGGATGAGGAAAAGTGGGCTGCTGACTCTCATCTGCTAGTGGAACGAGCGTCCATTATGCCCATTAATTCATGAACACTCTTATTTTAACACTCTCAGGGGCCTATGGCATTTAAGTCACCTTTAGTTTAAACTGACATTTACCTCACACCAAAATTAATGAACATTCTGGGACAGTTGAACAAATACAAGAATCCCTTAGAAGCTAGAAGTGCTTTAGAGTCCAGAGCAAGATGACATTTTTTTGTTTGTTTTGTTTGTTTGTTTGTTTGTTTGTTTTTGTCTGAATTAAGACACATACCTTCTACTTCATAAGTGGCAACTTCTCAAAGGATCAGTGTGGCTGGTTGCTTGGTACAAGAGCCTCTGCCTTTCCACACTCTGGTCTTTTGATAAGATAGGACTCAGGGCCTGGAATACAGTACCACAATATTAACCAAGGAATGTTATCAATCTTTTAGAAGTTAAATTATAAACATATAACATATAAACAAATAAAAGACATATAACAAATAAAACACAACAATGGAACTAGAGATATAGTGATTGAAATGTTTAGTTTATTACAAAATTTTGGGTCAAAGTTCATCATTTGCAGAAATATAAGGTGACCTAATGTGTA